TTAATAGAATATTAAAGGAAAAATAAGGTTAGAATGTGTTAAGATAATTATAGGATAGAAAACAGAGGAAGATGGAAAAGAATTGCGGAAACAATTAGCAGAAGTGGAATACAAAAAGGGAGGTGTGAGGAGGTCGTGGAAATAAGTGAATGAAAGATAAGATACTGAAATTATTTGATGTGTTTTAAATTGTTTTTGTTTGGTTTTGTTAGTTTAATGTGTTAGTGTTATGTAGTGTTTTTGTATTGTATTGTATTGTTCTTTTTTCTTTTCTTTTCTTTTTAGTGTTGTGTTTAAATTGTGGGAAAAGTAATAAATATTATTTTCAAAAATAATAATAAAAAAAAGAACAGACCTCCGGAACGAACCACTGTATTGGTTATTGACTGTAATGAAACAACTTGCACTTGTACTCTAGTGAGGAGTAATTCTCATGTCAATGTACATGTTCCTGGATGGCACATGGAGGGTTTGTAGGCAGGAATCGGAGCAGCCAAGTATAAAATCTCTCCACCTCTCCAACAGCTTTTCATCTGCTTGGTGAGTCTTATGCAAGGGTCAACAAACGTTTTCAGCACGGGGCCGGTCCACTGTCCCTCAGACCTTGTGGGGGGCCGGACTATATTTTGAAAAAAATAAAATAAAAAATGAACGAATTCCTATGCCCCACACATAACCCAGAGATGCATTTTAAATAAAAGGGCACGTTCTGCTCATGTAAAAACACCAGGCAGGCCCCACAAATGCATCCAGAGATGCATTTTAAATAAAAGGGAACGTTCTACTCATGTAAAAACACACTGATTCCCGGACTGTCCGCGGGCCGGATTCTGAAGGCGATTGGGCCACATCCAGCCCCTGGGCCTTAGGTTGCCTACCCATGGTCTTGTGCAATTTGGTGATCAACCTCACACACAGGATTATGCATCAGGCACTTGGAATCCATCTGGCTGTAGGAATAACGGAGATGACAGGAGGTTGAATTCAGGTGAGCTGTGCAGAAGCACGTTGGCAAGCACGCTCCAAGCAAGCTGCCGACTAGCTCTGCTGAGGCTCCTTTTATTAGCAGAAGTCAACAGTTGGAACCAGTAGTGAAACCACCCTGAACTTAACGTATTTCCATCTAAGCACATTTCCAGCATTAGCAAATACACGTGTCAGCAGGTGTTTCCCTGAAATGTTTCCCCAATACTTGATTACATCTCCTGTCCCCCATCATGCTCCAGCCAAGCAATATGTCTAACAAATTGTGAAAGGACAAAAGCTCAGGGGAAAAACCCTGTTTTCTAACCAAGGTGGTCAGGGAAAGCAGGCATAACGCTCCTTGACATACTGTTGTATGTCTGGTGCGAGGTTTGCCTTCGCAAATTGGAGCGTTACCTCCACACCTGGCTTTACAGATGGATTGAATACCGAGGTTCAGAAAGCTGCTGGGGCACATGCCACCCATGGGTGGGAAGCCAGCCCTCTCCGCTATGAATTTGTCTAATCTTTTAAAGCCATGCAGGTTGGTAGCTATGAGTTCCACGATTTTATTTATTTATTTATGCTGTGGCGATCACACAGGGTCCCCGGACATTTAACGGTCTATTGATCCCTGTGCCACCATTGTGCTCGCTTCCCCGCTGCCACCAACCCTTGGGTACACACTGAGTCCAGACAGTTGTTAAAATTGAACCAAATAGACAAGTTTATTTTATAAGTATTAACAAGTTTATGGTTTCTCAGATAATCTTGTCAGTTTCTTCTTTAGTTTCTTTACCGGCCCATACCTTCCTAATACCTTCTGACTGATTATCTCAACTGTTTGACTGACTCCTCTTAACAGATTCTCTCACTCTCTCACATCAGACTAGCCCAACCCACAGACTTATCCTCTCTGTCTCTTCTCTAACTCCAGACTGACTTCTTAACAACTCTAACTCCTCCCCTTGGGTTCCCATTGGTTAGTCATTTTACATTTAGTTAACCCTTATGAACCCGGTATGATGTCACACACCTAGGAGGGAAAATGCCACAACCGCTTTATATTTTTAAGAAAAACCTCAAAGCGGTTTACGGCATATTAAATCAATAAAATATAAATAAAACAATCTGAAGAAAGTCAATATAAAGTATGCAGTCAAAGCAACATAACAGAAAACTTAAATATTATCTTAAAGATTTCACAATAAAACAAATACTACTAACTGCATGAAGAAGTACTTTCTTTTAGCTGACCCAACACTTCCAACATTCAGCTTCATTGAAGTTCAAGTGTTATGAGCGAGCAAAAAAAACATTTGAATGCCTATCCTAGGGAGATTCACCTGTTGCCTTCTCTCTCTCTCTCTCTCTCTCTCTCTCTCTCTGCCTTTAGAATGATAGGATTATACAGTTGGAAGGGACTCTGAGCATCATCTAGTCCAGGCATAGGCAAACGTCGGCCCTCCAAATGTTTTGGACTACAATTCCCATCATCCCTGACCACTGGTCCTATTAGCTAAAGGTGATGGGAATTGTAGTCCAAAATTATCTGGAGGGCTGGTTTGCCTATGCCTGATCTAGTCCAACCCCCTGCAATGCAGGAATATGCAGCTATGGGATATACAGGGACTGAACCTGCAACCTTGATGGTATCAGACCCATGATCTAACCAACTGGCTTCAGGAAAGACTTTTTAATTTAAGAAAGCCTTTGCAGCGTGAGCCAGATGACGTTAAGAGCTTCCATTTTTCACTTTGTTATTTATTAAATATGTCATGCTGCTTTTATGAGATGGCTTTGCCTATTTAATTAACACTGGCCTTCCTTGGCAGAATTTGCCGGAGACCGAATGGTGGGATGTACCTTTCAACATAAATATGTCAAGCACATCTGATAGGAAAAACTTTTAATTCTAAATGGAATTTTGCTCATTTTCTTGGATACAAATGGATGGCAGCAAGCACTCTAGAAAAATGCATGCACATCCTACGATCACTCATGATCTCTGTAAATTCAGATTGGCACTGTTTGGATAGTAAATGAGTTCCTCCTTATTGGGGGTCCCGGTTGCGCCTGGGCCCCTAAGGCACCCCTGTGGGGTGAGTTGTTGCTGGGCGTGGCCCAGGCCTCAGCACTTGAGCCCCACAGTCACGCCAGGCTATTTGGGCCAATCAGGGTGGGCAGCGTGACTCTTGGGGCTTATAAAAGCAGCGGTGCACGGTGACTGGGAGCACTTTCTTCGCGCTGACGGCCACCCGCCCTCCCTCCCTATTTGTAGAAGATGCTGTTTTGGCCTTGCTTTGGATATTGGGCCGCCTGTTTTTGGAACAGGGTCCGGGTTTGAATTTTTTCCATTTGGCAAATTGGCTTTGGCCACTTGGTTTTTCACCTACCTCTTAGCAATTGTCACAACTTTGTAAGGTTTGGCGGTTAGGCGTTGGCTTCTTGAAGAGTGTGTGTGTGGGAGGTGCGGCCATCACCTGCCCCTCCAGAAATAGGATATTCCGGTAAAGGAATCTGGGGTTCCTGGATCTCGTCCAAAGTCCGCTTGAGGGGCTAGGGCCATGCCAGGACCACAGGAACCCCGGGGTGAGCTTCAGTTGATCTTCATCGATGTTGCTCCCTCATTTGGTGTTTACTCTTTCAGACTACCAAGGAGTCAGGAGTCAGTTAGAGTCTGTTGTCAATGCCTAAGCCAATACTGCCATACCTTGTGTTGTGTTTGCTTCAGGTCGAGCGTTTTTAGGTTGTGTCCTGCGGCGACCCGGAAGTACTGGAAAGGGTTACTTCCGGGTTTCGCTGCTCGCACATTTGCAGACGCTGAAAATGACATCACGTGTATGCGCAGAAGTGGCAAATCATGACCCGCACGCGCGCAGATGCAGGTTGCATTCTGCTCATGTTTCAAACAGGGCTCCAGAACGGATCCCTTTCGCAGCCAGAGGTACCACTGTACTGCTCACTTTGCTGCAATCAATAAAGTTGTGGCCTAAATTTTACCCAATAACTTAAACTAAAATTACGTGTCAGTGTGAAGTTATTTACAGGGGAAGGGCTTGGGGGCCTCAAAGCGCAACTGGGGGAAAGCGAAGGTCCATCGCCTTCCTAACAGCAACAGCTAAATGATGGCTGAGCTCAAGGTCTGTGTAATTTCTGCTAAGGAAAGGAAAAGTCCTGTATTCTTCCTAGCTGTAGTAACTGTGTAGTGATAAGGTAGACAGAGCATCTTGTTGTACAGTTGCAATACTGTGTTGCCTGCCCAGGTTTCTGACACCCATCTACCCAAAAAGGTAGACACCGCCTGCACTTCTGAATGGGTTGGACATTTTAATGAGTGTACACAATATATCCATGTATACACACACAACATTTGCCTTTCGGTACAGAGGGGCCATAAATCATGGGGTAAATTCCCCCCATTCCACGAACAGGGATACCTGCATTCCCTAAGCCCCTTCTTAAATAGAGGTGTTGTTTTTTTTTTTTGAAGAGTAGCAATTCTTCAACATAGCTGAATATCCTTAAGTAGGGTACTTTAGAAAAGAATCTTGGACGCTTGAGGTGTGATTGATTTTTGTGATGGAACTGAGAAAAATGCTGCTGAAGCATTACATATGATTGAGAAGCTTAGAGGAAGATGGGGGATACTTAAATGATTATTACCTCCTGTTCTGGTTTAAAAGGCCGTCTTTGACTGGGCTTTGAACTTGAAGGTGGTGGAGGAGAGAAATCCTTTGGAACTTAAATTAATTTGAAACTATGTGTCCCCAGTGAAACCACCCAAGAAGCACAAATTATTATTTATTACATTTCTATACTACCATTCGTCTGAGGAACACAGTGTGGTTCACAATGTGAAAAACACAAAAATACAGAACATGGTAACAAACCAACCAATACCTCCCTCTTGCCCCCAGTTTAAAAGGCCACAGATTGTCTATTTGGCTAAAGGCCTTGGAGAAGACGAATCATTTTGCCGGGCGCCTAAAGACATGTAATGAAGGTGCCAGGCGAGCTTTCCTGGGGAGAGCATTCCACATGTGGGGAAGCCACCACAGAAAAGGCCCTTTCTCATCTCGCTGCCCTCTGGACCTCTCGCGGAGGAGGCACACAAAGATTTCAATTAGCAATAATTGTGCCTCGGATTAACCTCACTGGTTACAATATTGCCATAAAGGTGGGCCATCAAATATGTGATATCCGAAAACTGCACTATCAACTATATATGATTTTATTTTATTTTATTTATTCTACAGTGGTACCTCAGGTTAAGTACTTAACTCGTTCCGGAGGTCCGTACTTAACCTGAAACTGTTCTTAACCTGAAGCACCACTTTAGCTAATGGGGCCTCCTGCTGCTGCCGCGCTGCCGGAGCCCGATTTCTTTTCTCATCGTGAAGCAAAGTTCTTAACCTGAAGCACTATTTCTGGGTTAGCGGAGTCTGTAACCTGAAGCGTATGTAACCTGAGGTACCACTGTACTTGGTCAAGAGCAGGGTTTGCAGCCAAATGAAATGGAATGACACTGCCGCTTTAATTTGACATTTAATTGGACATTTTGAACAATTACAAAATGAATTCCGTGGCATATTAAACTAGATCCTGCAGGTTGTGCGGTGTTTAAGAGGAAGAAGTCTGTGTAATACCTTCCACTTCATGGGAAACGGTTAAGGTGAACTACTTTATGATATGCATTTTTAAGTGCTATGTTTCATGGGCAGTCATGTGAAATACGGTTATGTTTTAAAACTAATAAAACTTTGCGAATGCAAATCAGAAAACCAAAATCTATATGAATATAATATCCTCATTGAAATGGTCCTTACTGCTTGAATTGTCCTTTAAAAAAATGATACCCTTCTAAGGCATTTGTGTGTGTGTTTTTAATCCCAGTACTGAAACCTGAAATGTGCAGCTCTAACCAAAACATTGGTGATTTAAGTCTTGTAAAGGTAAAGTTCTTGCAGAAGGTAGCCGGGGAATTGATGTTGTTTTGGTTGTTGTTATTTTTACTTATTTCCTGGAAATGTGTGCTAGATACAATTCTTTCTTTTTAGATGATTTAGCTCAATTGCCCAGAGCCAGCCAGCCTCCCAGAGTTGCCAACCTCTCATTCTTGTGTAGATGACTCCCCATGTCTACACTCCTATCCACACCATGTGTGCATCAGTTTCCATCTTCTTTAATTTGATTGGAAAGCTTTTCCAGCGTTGGTCAGTGCTTGGGGATTTAGCTGGAAAGCCTCAGAGCTTTGGTATTTCCAGATGCAACATCTTTGGCACTGGGCTTATTAATGGATTGCATTGTCATCTGTGGAATTTGCCTAATCATTTCATATCGACTTTCCTTGTGATGGGATTATTTCACACAGAGGGGATAGCTCAGTCACCGAACTTGTGGAAATTCTGGTGATATAATATACATGGCAGTCACAATATCATTTACTTCAGGACATTGCAAAAAATGCGAAAATCTTTGTTTTGACCATTCTCTGTAATTGGCAAGCAGTTTAAATATTTTTAGATGCCAATGCCCATGGTAGATGCATATTTGTCATGAAACCCCAATGGTCTGCCTCTTCTTTAAATCAGAACAAATGAAAATGAGAGGTTGGAGAATTCAGGACTGTGCTTTTTCAGCTAGATTGCAGCTTTGAGCAGAGAGAAAGCGTGAGGCGGGAAGAGAGAAGTGGGAAATATTGAACTTTCATTCTTTTACATAGCATTTGTGAAAGGTTTTTGTGTCAGCATCATGTGGGTAGGTTCTTTTTTGATATTATTTTTTGTTAGATTTCCCCCAAAATTAATACATTTACTTCACATCCAATATATATTTTTCTTTTTGACTTGCTACCCCTCCCACGCTGATGTTTTCATTCTTAACCATAATTGCTGCATTATACTTGTTACAACCCCCTAACTCCATCCTAACATCATTTTTATGTTTTTCCCTGTCGCTCATGTCTCAAATCCTGCACACAATTTCCTATCGCTAAAATATCTTGATCGATAGTCCCCCAAAGGCCTCCAATCTTCCATAAACAGTTCATCATTCTGATCTCTTAGTTTTACAGTCAATTTTGCCGTTTCAGCACAATCCATCCTTTTTAATTCTTCTGCTGGAGTCTCTTCCATCTTTCCATTTCTGCGCATATAAGATTCTGGCTGCGGTTGTTGAGTACATAAAAAGATTAGTTGGCTTCTTCGAAACCTCCGTCCTAATTATCCCTAGCAAAAAAAGAGTCTTTTTTGGAATCACCAATTTAAACGTCTTTTTAAATTCATGATGGATGGAGGTAGCTTCTTTTTCCTATTCACTTATTTGTTTTCGCTGGTGGCGTGAGAGAGGAAACCAACCACGCCAACTTGAACAAAATATTATTATTTTTGGGGGGTTGAGGGAGGGCAGATAAGCCCCGCCCCATATAATTGATCACATGACACACACCATTTTAATAGCAATAACCAGGGCCACTTTTTCCCCCCAGCAGGAACTTTCTGTTCTGGCAATTGTCAGGCAACTGTCAGGTGGGGACCATTGCCATTCTGAGATAAAAAGGGAGGTGATCATGGCGAGTTCTGGCACCTCCTTTTCTAGAAAAATAGGCACACGTTTAAAGAAAATTGGAAAATGTTTATTGGATAAATGTGTGAAAATTGTGTGCATTTGAAAACGCTGATAGCATGAAGATAAATTCAATAGTGCAAATAAGCTCTGATGGAGGTAACCATGGAATACTGAATGGTTTATGTAAAATATGCAGGAATGTATGGTATGCCAATCAAACCATGGAAAGAGAAGAAGGGAGGTCAGTGATTTAAGGTTGTTTAAATGAATAATTTAAAATGTATATTGGAATATATATATATATATATATATATACACACATACATACAGTGTGTGTGTGTGTGTGTGTGTGTGTGTGTATATATATATATATATATATATATATATAATATGCCCATCAAGTTGGGGGTGGCCCCCTCAAATATCAGGATTTATGTTTAGGGGGCAGGTTTTATGTTGGGTGGTGTATGAGACAGAACCTCAATTAGTTAACTATTTTCAGTGCTTTTTTTCTAAAAAAAATGTTTAGGGGTACTCTCATTTTGACTCAAGAAAATCACCATTTTATAGTTCCAACCGGGAAAAATGAATACAGTAAAGGGACAAAAGTACCAAGATTCACAAAATGTTCAGGGGTATGCGTCCCCCCAGAAAAACAGCACTGATGTATTTTTATTCATTTACTTGGTTTGGGGGGGACAGCTGCCCCCTTGGCTACCCCTCGGCCCCTAGGAGTTGGCTCCTATGCCCCGGCCCCCCGATCTCTCTCACGAAGCGAACTTTCTTATTTTCCCCTTAGTTTTCCTTATTTCTCCCCAGGCGCGCAAGAGCGCAAGAGCGCGAGAGCCGTCGCCAGAGAGCGCTGCGCCTCCGGCGGGGAGACGGCTGGTTCCGCCGCGCTCGCTCGCGTGCGATTGGCGCCCGGCGGCGGCGGCGCTCAAAACCCCCTCGCTTGCTCCGGGACGCGGCCAGAAGAGCCCGCGCGCTCCAGCGTCCTGCCGCCGCCGCCGCCGCCCTTGCAAACTCCCGCCGGGAACTGCCTGCCGCCCGGGGACTCGCCTCTGGATGGTCTTGGCTTGCAGGGGCTGCGTGGATGCGCCAAGCCGAGCGCTGCTTGCTGCTCCTCCGCCCTTCCGCTCTCGGGCCCGGGTCGCGGGGCTCCTGCTGCTGCCGGTCCTCTTCTTCTTCTCCTTCCCCGGCGGCAGCGAGAGCAGGCGGCGCCCGACGGAGCTGGGCGGCCGGATCCTGGCTTGCAAGAGGCGCGCATTCTCCGCCGAAGAATGGCTGCTGCGTCCCGCGGGGCGCGCAAGCGGGGCGCGTGTCAAGTGCTGGTGGCGACGCTGTGCGTGGCGCTGGTCTACTCCTATAACCTCGACCTGGACCACCCGGTGATTTTCCAAGGACCCAACAACTCTTTCTTCGGCTACTCCGTGCTGGAGCATTACTATGACAATACGCGATGGTGAGTAAGGGGAGAGGGGTGGGGACCCCTCTTCTGGTCCAGCTTTGCCTCTCCCACCCTCTTCCAGAATCATAGGGACCGCAAGAGTCATCCAGTCCAACTCTCTGCAATGCTGGAATCTGTTTTGTCCAACGTGGGGATCGAACCCGCAACCCCAGAGATCCAGAGTCTCGATCTCTGCCAACTGAGCTAAAGTTGATTTCCGATCTTCCAAGACCCACTCAACCTCCTGAAGACTCTTCTCCCCCTTTCTTTCTCTGTTGTTGTTGTCGGTTAGTCCGACTCTTCGTGACCCCATGGACCAGAGCACGCCAGGCACTCCTGTCTTCCACTGCCTCCCGCAGTTTGGTCAAACTCATGCTGGTAGCTTCGCGAACACTATCCAGCCATCTCGTCCTCTGTCATCCCCTTTTCCTTGTGCCCTCCATCTTTCCCAACATCAGGGTCTTTTCCAGGGAGTCTTCTCTTCTCATGAGGTGGCCAAAGTATTGGAGTCTCAGCTTCAGGATCTGTCCTTCCAGTGAGCACTCAGGGCTGATTTCCTTCAGAATGGATAGGTTTGATCTTCTTGCAGTCCATGGGACTCTCAAGAGTCTCCTCCAGCACCATAATTCAAAAGCATCAATTCTTTGGCGATCAGCCTTCTTTATGGTCCAGCTCTCACTTCTATACATGACTGTTTCGTTCTCTATGATTCTATGAAATAGGCACTTTTTTCTTTCTCTAAAAGTTCCTATTTCATAGAATCATAGAGTTGGAAGGGACCCAAAGGTCATCTAGTCCAACCCCCTGCAATGCAGGAATCTCAGCCGAAGCATTCATGACAGATGACCATCCACCCTCTGCTTAAAACCTTCCAAGGCCACCACCTCCCAAGGGAGACCTGCTCCACTGTCAAACAGCTCTTACCTTTTAGCTCTCTGATGGACTTACCCCTTCTGCCCCATGCCCTCTAGAATTGTGTATGCTGAAAGCCTGCTTTGTGATAAGAAAGCGGCACTCTGCATGTGCTCAGAGGCTTAGAATTGTGGATTGGAGGGCATCCTTGAAGGCCACCTAGTCAACCCCCCTGGACCATGCAGACAATCCAGTGCTTGGGCATTCCTATGAGATGGTTGCCCAGTGAGGGCGAGCCTGTTCCATTCTTGACCCTTGCAAGTCAAGAATTAAGGATTTTCTCTTAACGTCCAGAATCTGCCTCCTCCCACAGCTGAAACCCATTAGCTCTAGTCTTGCCCTCGAGGGCAGCAGAGAGCAAACCTTTGCTGTCTTCTGTGTGACAGCCCTTCAAGTAACCGAAAAGTATGGTGCTGTTTCTCCACTGCACACAGAAACTCTCCTCCAAGCTAAGCGTGCCTTGCTCCTTGCTCTTACTACATCGCACGTTTCAGGGCCAGATCTTGACGACGGGAGCCCTCGCTGAAATTAAATTTGGGTTGTCTTAAGTGGTATTGATTGGATGAAATTTTAAAATGCCAGCAATTGTCTATCATGGAAATGGGAGGGAGGGTTAAAGTGGAACTCCCCAAAGTCTGCCTTCTTCCCTCCTCCCACTCATGTGATGGAGAGAGAGTGCGCTGTTGAGCTGAGTTATTAGTTATGACAATTAGTTATGGGAGAAATCGATTCCTTTTTCCTAGCCTTCTCTCCAGGATCCTACAACAGCAGGGTTGTGTTTGTGGATGGGGGAGCAATTTCGTACGTTTGTATACATTTTTAAAATCTTTTTTTCCTAGTATGGGGTAAGGAAGAGGTCCACTTTCTCCCCTACCATGCAAAGAAGCATTGATTCTCAAATGGTCTGCTGGGAATGGTCACTGGTGGGGCTAGAATCTTATTAGGAGCTGTGTGATGCCATCGGGTCAGACTTTGGGGCAGAAGTCCAAGGGTCTCTCTCAGCAAAATGAGCAGACTGCAGATGCAACAGGGCTAGCTTACTACATTTTGAAGTGAGAAATGTAAGGTGCAACTGCTATCTAAAGAGCCCCTTTCCCCAATAAGACCATTAAGCTCAGAGTCTAAAATAGAGAAAGCCAGTGTAGTACTGTTAGGCTCCAACTCCCATCAGCCTCAGCCAGCATGGCCTATGGTTATGGATGATGGGAGTTGTAGTCCGACAACATGTGGATGACACCACGTTGACTACCCTTCACTAAAATGGCCTAACCGCACCACTAATGTGGCGTGTGCATATGTGCAATATCTGTGTTTGTGGGTGTGGGTGTGCATGTGTTACCAAGCAGAAGACGACAAGGACAATGAAACATGCTTGATGTGAGTTCACCCTTGAGTGAGGATTGGACCCGACTGCTGGATTTGGGCCACAGACAAAGAGATCTGTGGCAGGGCCCCATGTGGACCCCGATGTACGTTGTACTTTTAAGAAAGATGACAGAAAGTGTTTCCTCAAAGTCTCTAGTTGTAAGGATGCCTGGGCAATGGGGTAGATTGGCCAGAGAAATGGAGGTGTTTCGTTTCCTGCAAGTTCTTTGAAGGGACGTTGGATATGGTGGTGGTGATCTTGGTACCAAATACAGTGGTACCTTGGGTTACAGACACTTCAGGTTACAGACGCTTCAGGTTACAGACTCTGCTAACCCAGAAATAGTACCTCGGGTTAAGAACTTTGCTTCAGGATGAGAACAGAAATCGTGCTCTGGCGGCGCGGCGGCAGCAGGAGGCCACATTAGCTAAAGTGGTACCTCAGGTTAAGAACAGTTTCAGGTTAAGAACGGACCTCCAGAATGAATTAAGTTCTTAACCGGAGGTACCACTGTATCTTGCTCTGCATTCCTTTGGACTATAACAGTGAGGCACCATCTTTATGCAGTTTTAGGTACCAGACAAAGACTTTTCTCCCCCCCCCCCGGCTTTTGGCTCTTAATTTTAAGGGTATTATCGGCTTTCTTAGTGGGGTGGAACCTTTTGGTTTAGCTGTGCTTTTAGCCTTTTATTTGTGTTGCTGTGCTTTTAGGTTTTTGTTGTTGTTTATAATTGGTATTAATGCAAGTTGCTCCCAGTTACTTCATAAGAAAAGAGGCTTAATAAATACAACAGCAGCAACTGGGAGTCCAAGATTATGTCCTTTAAAGCTCTGGACGAAGAGGCGAGTTGCCCCTTCCACTTGTCACAGTGGCCTGTAGAGGGATGGACATGGTTGGAGCTGTCTCCGCCAGCTAGAGCCCCATCCTGGTATTAAGTGTCGAGGGGTGCTTTGAAAGCACAGTGATCCATGATAGGATGTTCACACATGCAAGGCAGCCTTTGACGCTAGTCATCAAACACTCAGGTGTGAGTCCAGACTAGCAGCTCTTTACACAACAGTCATCATCATCATCATCTCTCAGAGGATCTGGGGTTGAAGTTCATGGCTTCTTGGCAGGATATTGTTGCGTTAATGTGCAAAGATGACAGGGAAAGATTTCTTTCTGAGCAGCATTGCCTTAAGGACCAATTATAGTCCTGGTTTTCTCTTAAAGTGGTAGACCTGTATTTCAGTTGTGCCTCTTCAGGTTGCAGATGGGGGCTTGCGCATGGAGGAGTATTCTCTCATGAAAAACGAAATCATACACCTAAAAAAGTAGCACTTGAGTGAGAAGGAATAGACTTGAATCCCTCCATCGGAGATCTAGCTTTCTATGTGGAGGAAGTGTTTTTCTTGTACGACGCTCCATCATCTTCAGACTGAACCATCTCAGTGAAAACTGGACTTGAGACTGATTGTTTTAGGTCAGGGCCTTGCAGCCCTCCAGATGTAACTTGACTACAGCTCCCATCATTTCTGATCATTGGCCATGCTGGCTGGGGAGGGAGGGGGTTGGATTCCATTCAGAGAGGCACCCTTGCCTCTCAACTTCACATGACAATCTTAATGGTGGTGACGGAGTTTTGTGGCAGGTGGATGTTAAGAGAGGTCCTGGTGCCTCAGCAAACCATTTCTAAATAGCACCCCACTTCAGATGATATGCGCGGTGGAGCCAGCAAAAAACTATTTGTGCCGGGTCAACTTCAGTCTGCAAAATTCGGGGCTTAATTTTAGCTAGGGCATGTCCCTGAAACCCATTTTCTATATTCAGATCTGGAACATGTGAAGTAGTGGTTGTCAACACTGAGCAACCAGGGTGAGGATCTCACACTTAACAATTAAGGAACAGATTGGGGCCAAGAGTCATGGTTTGAGTTATGGCATTTCTATATTTGAAAGAAAGGAGACAACTGGCAAAAGTGTGGAAAGTTCCACACTTTCTGCAGATGTCAAGCACAATGACAGAGCACTTATAGTGAGAACTGTCTCTTTCCCATCTTCATGTGGGCTTCAGCCCCCTAGGTTAGTGAATCAAATATAGGGGCGAGAGAGAGAGAGAGAGAGAGAGAGAGAGAGAGAGAGAGAGATTCAAGGAGCAACAGATGATGAATTGATAACTTAGAGCCAGCAACTTTTTCCACTTGTCAGTTTCTGGGAGTCTGAGAATTTTCATTCATTTACATTTCCGTGAGCCTCACCCGTTAATCTGAAAGCTTTAGGGGGTCAGCTAGTGCAATTCCAAATTACTGCATGAAGAGAACATTGTCTGTCCTGGATTCTAATGCCTCTTGCCAGGGGCTTGTAGATGAAACAGTTGAAAAGGTACATTTGTGTGTCTTATATATAGAATTGACGTTGACATATCAGTCTGTACTAGATAACCAAAGTCTACCCTTGGCAATGCTTCCTCTCTCTCTACATGTGAATTGCTCCCTAGCAAATATGTTCTCTTTTGCAGCCATGGAGTTGACATTTAAAATCCAGCTTCAATGATTTATTTTTTGTTGCAGAAAAGCTGCTTCTCTTGCTGTGGTTCAGGGATAGCACTAGAGTTGTTAAGCCTCCAGTATGACTGAGGTCACTGGGTTTGTACTTGGTATTTAAAGTAATTTTGCTCCATCCTGGATGTGGTACAGTGGAACAAGCGCGGACTATTCCTGGAAACTGAAAATTACTACATAATATTTAGAAGTAATGCTTTAGAAAAAACAGCAGAAGAAGCCATGATTCTTATGGTAGTTAGTGCCTTATAGCCCTTTATTAGTTTTCCATTGTTTACAAAGTAACACCTGCTTTTCTGGACTTTTTTTTGGGGGGGGGGAGTGATAATCTTTCACTTCTTTTCTCTACCAGTAGCTCTTCAGATTTTATTTTATTGAAAAAGTGGGAGGGTGGAGC